ATTGCCTTCACATCAGATATCTGGTCTGATACATCAAATTCATTTATAAGGTTTTTTAAATTTAAACTTAATTTATTAATTTCTAAAGCTTGACAGCTCATGGAATTGGAAAAAATTTTACAAGAAAATCTTTTATTCTGTCAGTCTCAGAGTTTCAAGGAAGTCATACAGGCGAAAAAATAATAGAAAAAATACGTGAATTATTGAAAGTTTGGAATTTTGAGGAAGAAACCATTTCTTATTTTGTTCACGATGAAGGTAGCAATTTTAGAAAGGTTTATTTTTTATTTTATTCCCAATTTATCTATCTAATTATAGGCTTTTTCTGATCCATTATTAAATTTTGAAAATTTTTTGGATACAAATTGTTCAGCCCATATGGAAAACATTGTTGTTAGAGGAGCATTAGACAAAAATGAAAGTGTTAAAAATCTTTTAGCAAAATGTCGACATATTGTTGGTCATTATAAACATTCTCCACTAGCTTCCAACATTTTGAAAAAAATCCAAATGGATCTGAATATACCGACTAGAACACTTTTACAGGTTAATTATTAATTCAATAAATCCAAGATTTTTAGGATATGCCGTGTCGTTGGAATGCATCATATAATATGATAAAAAGAATTGCAGAACAACAAGAAGCACTTGCACAATATGCCATACAAAACAAAAAATTTGATTTTACTTTTGATGCCAATGAAAGCATCTTACTACATGAGCTTACTAAATTATTAGAACCTTTGGAAGAATTAACTAGACTTTTTTGTTGTCAAACTTCTTCAATTTCTGTCAAATTTCCTTATGCAAAATTAGTAATTCAAAAATTGTCACTTTTACAATTTGAAAATTCTGATGTAAATAAAATAAGAGATCAAATAATTTCTGGCTTGGGGACAAAATTTTTTGTTTATAAGGAAGACAGGTTTGTAGAAATAAATAAATTGGTATATAATAACTTTAGAGATCACCAATTAGCAATGTTTTTCGACCCAAGGTTCAAAGATAAGATGGCTGAATTTCCTGAATTTTTGCGGTTAATTATTATTATTTCATATTTTAATTATTTCATAATTTTTCATATTTTAGTCGACGAGTCTTTTTACATTTTGATGGAATGCCTGAAACGACAATAGATGAAGATCAAATTTTACCGATTTCTCCAATTAGCAAAAAACCCAAAGGATTGTTAGATTTTTTTAATGAAGCTCTTGCTGGTTCTTCAAATGATGAAACAATAAGTGGGGGTTCTATTGAATTTTTTTATTAATTTAATATTTAGGACGACCAGATATTGAAAAGGAAGTTACAGATTATTGCACTTTAAATTTGATTCAATCAAATGAAGATCCTTTAGATTTTTGGAGGTTAAGGGCTAAAGATTTTCCACGTTAGTATAAAAAATTTTCCTTTTAATAATTTTTAATTTAGTTTTATCTAAAGAAGCACAAAAATTTCTTTGTATTCCTGCGAGTAGCATTGCGTCCGAACAGTTATTTTCTACTGCCCGTGATACTTATACATATCGTCGGAGAAGTCTTAATCCCCGAAAGGCTGAGATGCTAATATTCCTCAACAGGAATCTTCCAATTATTAATTATAAATATTGATTAAATATTTTGCTTATAAAAATTTTGTTATGGATTTATTATAAAATTTTTTAATTTTTTTTTTTGAAAAATCGAAAAATATCGAGACTTTTTTTTCGATATTTTTCGGTTTCGATATTTTTCGATATTTATCGAAAAAATATCGACCGAGAAAATTTTGGTTTTTTCGATATTTTTCGATATTCGGTATTTTTCGATATTTATCGAAAAAATATCGACCGAGCCCTCCGTCCGGGCTCTAGTCATAATAATAATTATAATTGATAAATGTCATAAAAATAAGTACATATTTTTATTTAGTATAGTAAAATGGGATCCCTAGTGGGGTGTTTCCCTTCCTATAATTGCCTCAATTACTTATACTCTGCGCCGAAGCGGCTGAACCATACCCAGATGTTAAGGGATGAACGGGGAGGATGTGATCGGGACAATTCTAGAAGTTCCTTAGGGTTGATCAAGTCCTTCGGATTCTTCCCAACACCGAACACACCGAAGTAATAAAACGTTTTATTTACAAACTAGGAAAATACGAATAATAAAATATAAGTTAGCTAAAACATAATAATGGAATAAAAGGGAAAGCTAACAATAACAATGAACCAATTGTAAGTGAGAACAAAGGAATTAAATAGTTGTAAGGTGGGAGGGATAAAATGTTTGTCACATAGAAATATTGGAAGTAATATTGGACATTGAACCTGTATACAAAATATATAATTTGCTCGGTATTACCTTCGGGATTCGATTCTGTCTTACACGTCCCTTCCTTTACTAGACCGTCCCTGGTCGTTAAATTAATTTATAATACTTTCGGTTTAAATAGATTTTTCTTTTATTAATGGAGATGACCGAAATCAAATTTCCTGAGTTGCTTGAGACTGTCTCATTTTATGCCCCATTTTTGGAGGGTCATTTTTCCTGCCCGAGGGCATATTAGATTCACTCCCCTTATTTTTCTAGGACCGTCTCTGGTCCGAATGAGTATTGTCAAAAGCTAAGAATTATAGTGTGCCTAAGCACTCCGCGAATGCTGTATCCATATTTTAATTATTTTCAGGAGACATTCTCAATTACTCTTTTATTTGATTTCGGACATCCCACTAATTTTAATATAAATATTTTTTGTTTCCCTAAAGAATTGTATTATTTTTGGCAGGTATACCGAGCTTTCATATGTCAGTTATGTGAAAAAATGGTTTTAGGTATGAAATAGCTGTGTTTAAATGGCATTTTGAAAATAGTTGTGATTGGAATATATAAAGATTGGTAATTAACGGTAAAACATAAAATGTGAAAATGTAATTGCTTACAGTGGCAATGTAATTAATTGTAAAAAAAATTTATGAAATATACAGTTTTGAGTATTTTAGGAAATTTTGAGGAAAAAAAAATTGTCAAATTGAATTTTGTAAAATTGAATTTGTAACTAAGCGGAGAAGGGCAAATAAGACTAAATAGAATTGAAGTACAATTTCTCAGATGTAATGTGATTAATTGTAAAAAAAAATTAAGTGATTAAGTTGAGTGAAATTAAAATAATAAAATGACATTTTGAATATTGTTTGGTAAAGAAAAATGCTCAACATAAAATAGTAAATTTGGGGGAAGGGAATAGTATTGTAAATTTGAAATTCAATTTGTAAATTATGGCTGAAAAAGTGAATTCACCTAAGTAAATGTTTTAAATTTCATAAAATTAATTATGATAAAAATGGAGAGTAAAGTGGCAAAATTATAATATGCTTATAATTAAATCAATAAGCTTAAGTGATAAAAATAATGAATATGAGTGTTAGGAATAAATATTGCAAAAATGAGAACAGATTATATGTGAATTAATTATTTTGATACAATATATTTTCATAAAATTAACGGTGTTTTGATGGGTTTCGAACCTGTTTACAGAATAAAATTTCGGATGTGTGAGAATGAATGAGTTTAAAAAAAACATATATTTAGTAACATGTATTGAGAATAATATTTTTGAAAAAAAGGAGTAAAATTCACATATTTTAAACATTTAAAAGAAGAAAAGGAAGAAGATTTAAAGTTGTGAAAATTAATTATTGGGGTGAATAATAAGGGTAATAAAAAAATAAATTAAAAAAATTTTATTTTAATTTCTTCTAACGCCAAGAATTGCCACCATTCCATTTATTAGAGCGAGTCACGGTCCTTCCAGCCCATTGTTTCCAGTTGCTGTCTTTCCTGTAATAAAAAGGGTTAGTGTTTTTATTTGTATTCCCCCCATTATCCCCATCAAACCAGTCTTCTCTTCTAACATTCCTGTTAGAAGATGTACCACTAGTGCTCGGTTCATTTCTCCAACATTCATTTCGACGGGTGTTTGTCCATATTTCTTGTTGAGGCTCAAAAGGGATCTCATCCGAAAAGTCAGATACAGTTCTGCCATCAGCGGAGAGAAGCTGTCCAAAACGATCTCGCTTGCATCGACCACTTCTCAAAACATTCAAATATTCGGATCCAACAATATGAGTGTACTCAGACGCCTTATCGAGAAATCTATTCCAAACAGTACAGTTTTGAGTATTTTACAGTTTTGAGTATTTTAGGAAATACAGTTTTGAGTATTTTAGGAAATTTTGAGGAAAAGTACAGTTTTGAGTATTTTAGGAAATTTTGAGGAAAAAAAAATTGTCAAATTGAATTTTGTAAAATTGAATTTGTAACTAAGCGGAGAAGGGCAAATAAGACTAAATAGAATTGAAGTACAATTTCTCAGATGTAATGTGATTAATTGTAAAAAAAAATTAAGTGATTAAGTTGAGTGAAATTAAAATAATAAAATGACATTTTGAATATTGTTTGGTAAAGAAAAATGCTCAACATAAAATAGTAAATTTGGGGGAAGGGAATAGTATTGTAAATTTGAAATTCAATTTGTAAATTATGGCTGAAAAAGTGAATTCACCTAAGTAAATGTTTTAAATTTCATAAAATTAATTATGATAAAAATGGAGAGTAAAGTGGCAAAATTATAATATGCTTATAATTAAATCAATAAGCTTAAGTGATAAAAATAATGAATATGAGTGTTAGGAATAAATATTGCAAAAATGAGAACAGATTATATGTGAATTAATTATTTTGATACAATATATTTTCATAAAATTAACGGTGTTTTGATGGGTTTCGAACCTGTTTACAGAATAAAATTTCGGATGTGTGAGAATGAATGAGTTTAAAAAAAACATATATTTAGTAACATGTATTGAGAATAATATTTTTGAAAAAAAGGAGTAAAATTCACATATTTTAAACATTTAAAAGAAGAAAAGGAAGAAGATTTAAAGTTGTGAAAATTAATTATTGGGGTGAATAATAAGGGTAATAAAAAAATAAATTAAAAAAATTTTATTTTAATTTCTTCTAACGCCAAGAATTGCCACCATTCCATTTATTAGAGCGAGTCACGGTCCTTCCAGCCCATTGTTTCCAGTTGCTGTCTTTCCTGTAATAAAAAGGGTTAGTGTTTTTATTTGTATTCCCCCCATTATCCCCATCAAACCAGTCTTCTCTTCTAACATTCCTGTTAGAAGATGTACCACTAGTGCTCGGTTCATTTCTCCAACATTCATTTCGACGGGTGTTTGTCCATATTTCTTGTTGAGGCTCAAAAGGGATCTCATCCGAAAAGTCAGATACAGTTCTGCCATCAGCGGAGAGAAGCTGTCCAAAACGATCTCGCTTGCATCGACCACTTCTCAAAACATTCAAATATTCGGATCCAACAATATGAGTGTACTCAGACGCCTTATCGAGAAATCTATTCCAAACAGTGCCGCTCCGAAGAATCTCAACATTTCCAACGAGGAACAATCCATGCTTTGCTCTACTAAGCGCTACAGTGGCACGACAATCATCCCGAAGGAAGTCCGAAGTGTCACCAAGGTTGCCAATGTTCCGGCGAGACCTAGTAGTTACGAGCACAACCAAATCACTCTCCTGGGCTTGATACCCATCTACGCTCACTACAAGAACATTCCAACCAAGATTTTCAAACTCTTTTTGGAGGCATTCCTTTTGATACAAATATAAGCAAATGACAACAAGAGAAACGTCTGGTGAGATGTAATTGTACAACGCAGAAACCAAATTTACCACCGAAGTAGTCTGTTCATCGTTCGTAAGCGAGTGGGAAACAGAATCCTGACGACAAGTACCTATGATGTTAAGTAGGACTATTGGCACATTTTGCATCGGAAGAGGAAAACGAGACAAAGTCAACAGAGTTCTGTCTTCTTCAGCTGTCCCAGGCTCCAAAGACTCATCATGTTGTTCATATGAAGCATACGAAACAATATGGACCAACAACGGATGCATGCGGTAGCACGTAACCAACCGTGTGTGGTGGACTAAGGAGGACCCTACCAGTTGATCAACCATCGACTCCAGTCCAAAACCTTCGTGGAGAGAACTCGGCAAATCCTGAAGATGAACACCCAGCTGGTATTTATCACCAGTGACGAGAATCTTTTCAAGTTTTGGCAAACGACAAACAAGATTAGCCAACTCAGCAAAGGAACCCTGCGTCGCCTCGTCAAAGATAAGCACCGAAGTGTCAAGCAACGCATTACCAACCATCTCCTCAGCCATAGTTGAAGTGGCAAAAACAATTCTCAGTTGAGAAATTTCGGAGAACATCGACCCTATTCTTTTCTCCTTTGTCAGCCTTGGCCTTCTTTCAAAATTTTCACTATATTCTCTACAATCTCTCCTCATTTCATTGTCCATTCTCTCTTCATTAAGTGCCAACTTGGAGATAAGCATGTGCTGCCGAAGCTCATTGATCGAATCCCTATATTTTTCCTTTGCGTAGCCAGAAAAGAAGGCAATCGCGCCGGAATCTTCCATTTCCGCACTACCAAGAATTTCTTCCAACTCCTTTGCCAACTTAGCGAGTGGTAAATTCGCAGCAGTTATGACGGCAACCTTCACATCATTCAAGACCGACAACAAAATGTCAACAACAACAGAAGCGACGTAGGTTTTACCAACACCAGGCGGCGCCTGTTGAAATGTGAATTGACAACCATCTTTCAACAAACTCTTCGCTGTCACTTGCTGTCTTGCATTTAACAATCTCATCAGAGGATGCATCTGTTCAATCACCGAAGTGTCAGAGTCATCTTCATTCTCATCAATAACCTCAACTTCACGAGCCAACAAAGCACGCATGAGTTTACCTTGGTCGGTGTCCGTCCTTGCAATTCTAGACGGAAGGTTGGAAGCAAAGCACTCTCTGCGACTCTCTAAACCTTTAAACAATACCGGATGGACAACAATATAACCTCCGTCCTTTGCATACTCTAATTCCTCGACAACATCACGATTTTTCCGCTCTTGGTTACTCACGACTTTAACTGTGACCCAGAAATCAAATTTTTTGTTATTCCCGAAGGAAGGAGAATCATTAAATTCAACTTTTGTGATAGCACCGATAGCAAAATGTGGTAAATGCATCTCTGACTTAAGCATTACTTGGTCATCGACCTTCCACACATTTTTCAATTTCTTCACTTTACTATTATCAATATTGGAGAACCGAAGTTCAAATTTATTATCAACAAACAACGAACAACCTTCAAATCTATTCTCAACTATTTCCTTCCTTTCATTCTCAGATGAATAGCCAATGGCAGCACTAATAACACTCTCAGCCAGCTCAACCTCCTCATATGACATTTCAGGCGTAAGAGGATAGAAGGTGTTTTTCCCATCTCTTCTGTAAGGCCAAGGAGAATGAGCTCCAACTGTTCCGATGACTCCCATTCCAATTCTAAGAACTTCATCTGAACCGATTTTAAACTCAGTCTGTGGCGGGAGGACATAAGCTTCATCAACTAAACAATCTTGAGGAACACTCGCAACCGATACCGTTACTAACTGTCCGATTTCCAACTGCTCGAGAGTGATGTCATTTAGCTGACGCCTGTAGCAGCGGGACGCTACCTGTAAACCTGCAGAAATCACAAGACAACACATAAGAGTGTTGAATTTCCCACCACGCTTAATTTTTATGACAACGCCAGGATAGTTCCTTCGAGTAGCATAATCAATAAGCTCGATGACGGTGGCATTTGCTTGTGTGTTAATTTTTCCAACATACCACATCTTCCTATCCTTTGTAACCTCGCCCGCATTCCTTGCTAGCTCCTCATAACCTTTTTTCCATTCCATTTCTGAGATAAAAACCAAATCACCAAGATTTAATTTCTCCACAAAACCTTCACATTTGGCGGCAATATTATTGTCAATCGACACAAAATGAGGATATTGTTTGTTGGCAGCTGCATTTCTTCGAACTCCAATAACTCCTTTTTCTTCTACAGCACAAACCATGTATTCGACAACTTTTTTCTCTTCAATATTAGATCCCCGAAGGGTTTCAACTTTGGTGGACTCTTTCTCTTTCTCATCAACTAACTGTTCATTAGTTTTGGAATTTTTGATCACCGAAGTGCTTTCCAAACTTAATGAACTGGTGGACTCTTTTAATATTTCAATATTTTGAGCGGTGGACGACGATGGAGGACTTTTAGCAGATGGAGATTGTGTAGGTACCTTTTTTTCGGACGAAATCCCTCTAAGTGGAGGAAAGTCGACGTGACTACCGATGTTGAACTGTTCCATTTCTAAAAAAATTATGTTTGTAAAAGGTAATCAAAATTTAATGTTTATAAAACCCCCTAGGTAAAAAAAAAATTTTATTTTATTATTATTTTTTTTATATATATTTTTTTTTGGTTTATTGATTTACTACTATGAAACAGAGGAGGACGAAATATGGATGAAATATGGAAAATATGGACGGAAAACCAGAATATGGAAAAATATGGAAAATATGGATTGATAACTCAAAAATGACCTTCCCAACATATGCTAAAACTCTACACTATTTATAGCTCCGAAATAATTAACTCACTTAGAAGCTTTTCTCTGATACCAACTAGAATCCTGCCTAAAACATTTTTCCCACGCCAATTGACAATATCCAACAATTCATTTGATCCTATATTACAACCTGAACCCCAGTAATAATCTCTATTTGTTGCTTCAACTAATAAGGTTCCATGAGTAGATAACAACATTCTTTTCAGGTAAACATTTTGTGTATATTTCGCCCAGTTGGCAATTGTCATTATTAATATACAAATTTTACGCCATTTTACAGTATCATGTCCTTTCAAATGGGAGCCCATCATTTTTATATCCCCAGCTACATGACAGTTTAATATTTGTTGTGCTATATCTTCATTTCCAGACATTATTGCTTTCCAATGCATGTAATATTGTTCAGTTGAAGAATAATTTATATTATCGATAATAAAAGAGCAGCTGTAGTGATTAGAAAAAACGTAGCGCTTGGTAAAAAATGGAGCTAATTTAGTTCCGTCTAAGGCTGTTACGATTTGTGGAGTCTGCATCTATATTTTTAATATATTTTTAATTTTTAATTTTAATATATTTTTTTTAATTCTAAATCTAATCTTTTAATCTTATATCTATTTTTTTTAATATTTTATTTCAATTTTATTAATTTGTTATTAAATTCTGTTAATTTGATTATTTTTTAAATTAGTTTTGATTTTTTTTTGTTCATTTATCGCCGAAGCTTGTTAATTAGTTAAAATTTATAAAATTTTAAATTTATTTTTAAATTAATTTTATTATTTTCTTTCTTTATTTTTTTTTATTTATTATATATTATTATTTTTTTTTATAAAATTTTCTGTTTGGGATTCTTTCTTAAATTATATCTTCCCGTTCCTTCCCTAGCTGGCTCTTCAATATTCTCAGTGCTTTGGATCAATTCTGTGTTTATTTCTTTGACTTTGTGTGAGAAACCTGGCATATCTACAACTTCCCTAGCATTGGCTGCTTCGAGAGCTTGTGACTCTTCTGGTTCTAATCTTGTAGTGGTGCAGGCTGGTTCAGTAGGTAAAGGCTCAACACATTTCTTTAATTGATTAATATGAACAACCCGAGGGTTTGATTGAGGTGTATTACAACTTGTTATTGTTACATGAACTCCATTGATCTCTACTACTCGAAATACTCCTTTCCATGGAAGATGAAACTTCTTCGAAGATCCAACTTTGCCGGTATAATTTCTTAACAAAACCCTATCGCCTATACTAACAGTTGGGTTTCGTAATAATCTATCATAATATGTTTTTGTTCTTAGTTGTGCTTCCTTGTTTGCTTCTGCGGCGCACCTCCATGCATGTCTTAGAGAAACTATAATCTTTTGCTTAATTTCTTGCTCATCGCTAATTGCAATTGGTTCTCTGACTTTGGGATCAAGAATTAAATCGACACAAAAAATGGGGTCTCTACCGTACATCAAGAAAAACGGAGTCTCATTTGTTGATTGGTGCACCGAAGTGTTATAACAGAAATTTGCAAAATCTAAATGCTCATCGAAATCTGGCTGATCTTTTGTTATATATTTGGCAAGAATATTGTGAAACGTCCTGAACGACCTTTCTGTCACTGCATTTCCCTGACTCCAATGGGGAATCGCGTAAGTCTTATTTATATAAAGCATTGCACACAGACTCTTAAAGAAATCTGAAGTGAACGCCGAAGCATTGTCAGATATTAACTCTGTACAACCACCAAACTTTAAATAACAATTTTTGAGGAACGCCGAAGCAATCGTGGACGCTTTAGCATCAGGAATAGGCACAGAAATAACAAATTTTGTGAACCAACAAACAATATTTAAGATGTGTTTATTTCCGCTCTGCGTTTTTGGAAAAGGCCCAGCTAAATCCAACCCAACTTTGGCAAAAAGAGTTTTTAAAGGTGGAGTGCACATCTCTGCTCTGTAGGCCGGATTTGGTGAATGCCTAAGTTGGCAAGTGATACACTGCTTATGCCAGACTACTATGTCTGAATGCATTCGCGGCCAATAATATTTCTTGCACTTCTTCAATGTTTTACCGAAGTCCATATGTCCCCCACCTAACTTAGTTGTATGAAATGAATCAAAAATTAAGGCTCTAAGGGAAATTGGTATATAAATTCTTGGCGTGATATTTTTGTAATGATGATATAAAACACCGGATTCTATACATAAATCTTTGGCTAGTAAGGCAAGTCTGTCCTTTTCCTCTTCATCTAGCTCTTCGGGGAATTTCCCAGACTTTAAGAATTCAATTAACGCTGCAGCTTCAGGATCTTCTCCTTGTTCCTTTTTAATATCTACTTGGTGTATCTCCCCATCTATAGTCCTAAGAGAAAGTGTCAAACCGAAGTCTTCATGAACTACTCTAGGCTTAGGTTGAATTGCCAGACAAACAGGAAATTCTGCTATGTCTTCTAACTCCTTAATTTTATTAACCTCTTCAGGGCTTAAATCTTCATGCGGAATCCTCGACAGGGCATCAGCTAATGTATTTTGCTTCCCCGCTATGTGTACTATTTTTATATTATAATTTTGCAATTCTACCAACCACCTTGCTAGGTGTTGATGTGTTTCAGCTTTTTTCAAGAGGAAAGCTAAAGGTTTATGGTCAGTATGAAGTTCTACACTAGACATAAATATAAAAGGTTTAAATTGCCGAAGCGCATAAATTATGGCACCCAGTTCAACTTGAACTGGCGGCCAATTCCTTTCAGAGGAGGAAAGAGTCCTACTACAATAACAAATTACTCCATAGACTCTATTTTCTTCATCCCATTGCATTAAGGCTCCTCCTTGCCCGACTTGGGATGCATCACAAAATATGTGAAAGGGTTTCGAATAGTCAGGAAAAATAAGAACCGGTTTTTCTGACAAAATTTTCTTTACTTTTTCAAAAGCTTTCTGCTGTTCTTATGCCCAAACAAATGGGTTCTCTTTTCTGGTTAACCTTGTTAATGGCTCTACAATTGTGGAAAAATTAGGTACATGCTTTCTAAAGAAGCTTGCCATGCCTACTACATGTCTAACATCTCTAACCGAAGTTGGGACTTTTAAATTTAAAATCATTTCTGTCTTTCTTAAGCTTGGGGTATACCCTGACTCATTGACAATAAATCCTAGAAATTCCATGCTTTTCGAGGCAAAAGTGCATTTTTTGGGACTTAACTTAAGATTAAAGCGTCTAAATCTTTCAAATACACCCCTAAGGGCTTTAATATGTTCTTCAAAACTTTCTGATTTGGTAAAGATAAGTATGTCATCGACATATGCCATGACATTTTCTAATCCTGTTAGTACATGCGCCATAACTCTTGCAAAAGCACTCGTGGCATTTTTCAAACCAAAAGGCAAATTTATCATCTGGTAAATTTTATCTTCTGTAATTACACCACATTTCCTTGAGGCTCTCTCACTTAATTTAATTTGAAGATAGCCGCTGGCTAAGTCAAGAGACGAATAATATCTACAGTTGCCCACTTTTTCTAAAATTGTTTCAAGTCTGGGTAAGGGAAAGTGATCCGGTACTGTCACTTCGTTAAGTTTCCTAAAATCAATACATGGCCGAAGCCCGCCATCCTTTTTCTGAACTAATACTATATTAGAAACCCAGGGAGTATCAGACTCAACCATAACCCCTGAGGCTAAGAGCTGATCTAAGTGCTTCTGTAACTCATCACGATATTTAAATGGTACTCTATGTGGTTTAGATGCGACTGGCTTTTCAGACGTGGTTACTATATCATGTTCACCCGCTGTGCAGCTCCCTATATCATATTGACTTTTACTAAAAATATCTTCAAATTCCTCGCAAAGATCCTTTAATTTCTTAAGATCCTCTCTCTGAACTGTTGATTTTTCAAAATCTATTTTAAAAGTTGGGTCAATTATTATTCCAGGCTTCCCTAAGGAATTCATTTCTTGCACCTCTTCACTTGAATTTGGAATAACTTCGGATAATATACAATCCGTTTCAGTTTTTACAACTTCGCTGGCTAACCCTAAGGTTTTTCCTTTGTAAATTATCTTAGTTGCGCCTGTAGGGTTTGTTACTATCAGATGAATAACGCCCTCTTTAGGATTCACAACCGCTGGAACCATACTTAAACATTCTTCCTCAAGTTGAGAGTCTAACGAATGTACAAATACGTCATGCCTAATCAATTCAGGAAAACATATTTTTGCTTTTATTAAAGTTTGTTCATTTGGTCTTAATTCAAATTTTTCCATTGCATAAATTTTTAAATTTCTAAGTGGTCTATTTATTCTATTGTCCATGGATAGTTGGTTCCCAAGAATACACAACCTTTTATTTTTAAGATCAACTTGGATGGGAGGTAGTAATGCCATTGCATCACATCCCATAATAAAATGGTAATCATGATTATCCCAGTGAAATTTATCATTGAAAAGGTGAATAGTTATTTCAGCTGCAGCTCCCGCAATTTTTAAAGTAACTAAAGTTGCTTGCCGAGCACACATAGAATGCTCTGATGCACTCTGCAAGTGTGTTTCTGTCTTAAAAATTTTTGTACCTAACCATTCAGCTAATGCTACATTTGCTACCGAAGTAATTGCACCAGTGTCTAACAAGCATTTAACTGGTATGCCATTTAAAGTTACATCAACTATTACAGTATTTGCACTAGACCCTAACACTCCAATGAATCCTCTAGTTCGATTAATTTCAATCGTGGACCTTGGTCTTGTATTCATTGTGCTTCTCGGGAGTGTGTTCGAATTAGTCGTGTTCCTAATTGAGGGTGGCCATGAGGTCGATAGAGGTCTATTACTTATTGGTTCCTCATAGGTATTGTCTACTTCAGAAATGGGTTCGGGTACTCGACGAATGTCCAACATCTGTCTCTGGGGTTTTTGTACTACTGAACCAAATAATAGTCTTCCCAATCTACCATTACCAGCATACACTTCAGCTACTATCATTGTCAGTCTTATACCGAAGTCTAAAACTAAAATTCCTAAAATAATATATAAAATTGTTTTCCATATGCCTTCATAATCGCCCACTGCCTTATTTACTATTTGTCTTTCAACTTCTTCCCATTCTTGAGACATGGTTGCTAATACTACTGTGTCTTTTTCATGTATTTTGTATGTC